ACAATGTGACAAATCTGGAAGTGAGATCCACCACTAATCCCCCATGGACCCTATGGAGAGTTTCCCACAGATCTCAGGAATTAAAACCAAGAGCTTTAAGCAAGAAAGACAAAAAATTGAGGAGCTCCAACAACTGGAAATCAGGGAGAATTTTTTTCTTTCTGGGATGAATCAAGTGTGCAATATTTTTCTTTCTGCCTTAACCAAGTAGAGTAATGGCTATCTATGCTCAAAGTGAAGATTTGTCTAACTCTTGGGAAAAAAAAAAGTTAATGAGGTTTAAGGATTGTATCTCCACTCTGTAAGTTATCAGAAGAAATGAAACTTTTTGTTTTAAATGGAATTGTAAAAACAGAGGAAAAGAAATCTCAAAAGACAGATGGAAATCCTACTATGGCAGGAGTTTACAGGCTTAATTACATTTATGACTCTCTACAGCATTCTAGGCCTTGTTAAAATAGCACTTTGAGGGTTTCAACATCTATATCCATGACAGTGGATTTGACAATATATCTTTGACAATATATTTCTTTGACAATATATCTCCTCGAATCATATTTTGTGTGATATTATTGTTTAGAGGGTTGGCAAAGAAAGTATCTCTATTGGTTTATCTTTCAAGGAATCTTATGTGGCTTTGGAATATGAATGGGAATATAAAGAGACCAGAAGTGGATTCAGAGAGGTATACAGACAACAAAGGCAATATTGGTACAATCATGTTAAACTTAATGTACATTAAAAGGAATGACTGTGTGGGTTAGATTCATGTTTTTATGAATAATCCCATTTTTGTGACTTTTTTGCATATAAAAATAAATTATTTTTAATTCATAATTTAAAATATCAATATTAATGGGAGATGCCTTATTGGAGAAACTTTAATGTAACTTTTTGCTTTACCTAATCAAAGTCTTTTTTTTTTTACTCTTCTCTCAGCCCCTACTCCCTATTTAACATATTTTGATTTGTTTTATCACCCCCATTATAATATAAAATCTTTTAAGGTAAGGACTATTTTTCTTTTTGCATATATTTCTATTTCCTTTGCATAGCACAATGGATAGAACAGATTAAACACTTAACAAATGCTTGTTGACATGATTTTTCTTTTTTTACAGCCAATGATCAATGAACACATTCAGACAAATGTATTCTCTTCATCTTTAAATCAAATTATGACTGCAACTGCATGGCTTTCTTTTATGAAAACCTGACAGTTCATTTCTCACACTTTCATCAAGGATGCTTTCAAATGTAGCATAGATTATTGCCATAAAAATTTTGTAGTGCTGCAAAAGTTGATATTTGAGTAATTAATTATTGTTATTTTCCCAGTCACATTTCCATGATGATAATATTAGGTATTCTCCTTCCTTTCAGAAACCTTGGCTATTGATCTTTCAATCACTCCGATATTGTGTTGCATCCAACAAATGTCTCCTCTGTGTTAATTACTTGGCATATTCTACCTGTTCTTCCTTGATTTTCCTTGATGCCACTTCTACTTCATCATACAGTACACCAAAGGTTGTGATATTTAGCTCTAAATATAATGGGTCTGCTGTTGTTGATGGAGACAAGAATTTGTTATACTCTTTGTGAAGCCATTTTAGAGTTTTCTTGGCAAAGATACTAGAGTGGCTTGCCATTTCCTTCTCCAGCTCATTTTAGAAATCAGGAAACGGAGGCAAACAATGTTAATTTCTTGCCCAGGGTTACACAGCTAATAAATGAGGCCTGATCTTAACTCAAGAAGATGAGTTTTCCTGATTCCAAGCCCAGTGATTTATTCACTGTGCTACTTGGTTCCAAATTCATGCTAATAAATTGGAGAAAAGATAATTATTCCTTTCTAATAAATGCTAAGTGAATCAGCTGAAAAAATCTGCCACTTCTAGGTCATGAGCTAGGCCAGGGATGTCCCATATGCTTACTGTCAGAATGTTGTTATGGAAATAATATTTGAATAGAATCAGGGGATCAGGACTGCAGTCTGTGCTCACTTACTATTTGGTTCTTTTGGCCCCAAGGCAATTAGGGTTAAGTGACTTGCCCAGGGTCACGCAGGAAGTAAGTGTCAAGTGTCTGAGGCCAGCTTTGGACTCAGTGTTCTATCCCTTGCACCAACTAGCTGTCCCTGTATTGCTATGTGTGACCTTGGTCAAGTAAGTTACCTTCTCTGGGTCCATTTTCTCTTCTACTAAAGATAGGAATGGCTGACTACTTCAAGGGCTATTGTGATGAATCTAATTAAATAAGGTAGTGTTTAGGAATACCCCATAACTGTAAAAGATTATATTAATGCAAAGTGTTTCAGAAAGCTACCATGACATACTTGGAACTCTTTGATAGCATAGACATGTGAGAATCACTGGCCTTCTGTCTTCCACTATCACCACCTTCTCCTCTGGATCCCACTGAACAAGTAAACTAAGTGTCACATTTTATCCCTCTTGTCTTCTCCTATAGAGATGAGAAGTTTCAGAGAAGTTATTTTCACCTGAAATTATAATGGGAATAGGTGAGGGAAATCTTTATGGAATGGGAGTTATTGCTGTTAGATAGATCTTAAAGGAAGTCAATGATTTGAACAGGGCATATAGAAGGTCCATTTTAGGCTTGGGAAGTTAATAGGGGATAGAAAGCAGTCCAGTAATCTGAATCATACAATACCTAAGGTGAGGAGTGTGAAAATAAGGTTGGAAGGCTATGTGGAGGGCCTTGAATGTCAATGTCCATTTAGATCTTTCGGTGTGCAACTTGGAGGCAGCTAGGTAGAACAGTGGATAATCAGCTGTGCCTGAGATAAGGAAATGTAAGTTCATTATCTGATCTCAACTACTCACTAGCTCTGTGACTCTGGGTAGGTCACTTAACCACTATTTGCATTAGTTTCCTCATCTATAAAATGGGGATACCTTGCTGCAAAGTTGTTTTGAGGGTAATATGCCTATCTCATGAACAGCCACCAGAAAGAGGTTGGTCCCTGAGGTAAAAAGAAAAGGATGAGAGAAAAAAGTGAAAGAAGAGGGAAAGACATGGAAGAAATAAGTACAAAGGTATAGCACAGTTTTTGGCACCTAGTAGGTCCTATGTGAATGTTAGGCTTGTTTTATTCTTTTTTTTGGTTGTTGTTTGTTTGTTTGTTTTTGTTTTTGTTTTTTTATAATTATACCATAACCTTGGTCTGACCAAAATTAGGAGACAGCATGGTCTAATGGATAGATTGCTGAGTTTGGTGTAAGAGGATCTAGGTTTTGAGTCTCAGCTATACAAGTTAATGTTTGTGATACTGGACAAGTCCGCTAACCATTCTGGGTCTGTTTCCACAATGGTAAAATGAAGAGGTTGGCCTAAATGACCTCTTGGGTCCCTTCTAATTCTAAATCTATGATCCTATTAATAAAGGACAAGTGTGCCCTGTAGCTATGGCAAGTACATTGAGCTGAAACTGAGACAAGAAGAGTCAATGATTAGCCAGACCTTCTGGGAATGGTGTGCTCCTGGTGGTGTGAGGGTGACTGACAGCTTTCATTGGCACCAGGACCTGGGCTTCTGAGCAGAGGAATGAGAAACTTAGTTAAGAGGTAAGTATTTTTCGGGTTACTGGGACAGGCAGGAAAGGGGCAAGGTCAATTGTTGTGGGTCCAGAGGAGATTGTAGATTCTCAAGATAAACTGAAAGGACAGAGAGGCAATTGTGTATGTCGACTGACTTGGTCATAATTCCCAAATGTGGCTGAATCTGAACCTGCATCTAGCCCTTCCTTCTATTTATACCAATAGAAAATAGTACCCTATTTCTACCCTATGCAATTGTACTTTTGTGTCTCACCTATAGGTCTCTCCTCACTTCTCATAAGGCATAGAGCCCAGGACTAAGCCGCAAGATATCTGGGCATCAGAATCTGGGTACAATATTTCCCTTAGATATCTCAGTCCATTGTGTGTGTTTGAGGCAAGAGGAGTGAACCTATCTTTGTGGCACCTTCACTAATAGAATACCCAGTCACCCCTGAAGATCTCCAAATCCCTCACCTGTGACCTTTCATTCTCTACTGTGACCCCACCACACACACACCCACACACACCCACACACACACACACACACACACACACACACACACACACACAGAGTTGTGCCTCCATCAATCTCCTGCTGTTACTGTGAATCACAGTATAATACTGTCTCTTACTCCTAAGAGGTTCCCATAACTCAACCTTTGTAACCATCAGTTCCTCTAGAAATAATCCCCAGCACAATTAAGTGGCTCAGTGATTGATTACAGCACTAGGCTTGGAGTCAGGAAGACATGAGTTCAAATCCAGCCTCAGATAGTATCTAGCTGTGTCACGCTAGGCAAATCACTCTACCTCTGCCTGCCTCAGTTTACACAGAAACATTTGTTAAGCACCTACTCTGTGTGGACATTGAAGTTATTATCCTCATTTTCCAATTACGGAAACTGAGACAGAGGCTAACAGGTGACTTATAGAAAGTTACATAGCTGGTAAGTATTATCAGGCCAGATTTTTATTCAGGTCTTTCTGACTCCAGGCCCAGAGTTCTATCCACCAGGCCACTGTTGATCCATGCCTCTAATTCTCTCTTCTTCTGTCCTCCCTGCCTTTGAATTTGAGATCCACATGCCAAAATAACCCTTTACTGATCCTCCTTATCAAAGGAAGTACAAACAGGCAAGACAGTTTTAGAAATAATATGTACAATTTATTTATATATTTTAAAAAAGGCAGTAGGAAATGGACATTCATTTTAATATTTAAAATACTCCTTTATGTTCTGTTGTGTATGAAAACACTTTAACTTTTAACTTCAGAGTTCAGATTCTAAATTAGGCCATTCCTTTCCCCCAACACTTTGGATCTTAGCTCCAGCAAGCCTCAAAGAGAACTTGGAAACATTTTCCCACAAGTTATTGGTTTGCTTCCTGGGTCAGGGAAATTTATATTTTCTATGGAAAAGAATCCATGTGCACCAAGTCTGGAGTTTCAGGATATTGTATTTTCCCTCCCTGAGGGATGAAGAAAAAAAAATGGTTAACTTAAGATAAGCTAGGTGTACATTGGGCCCAGTGACTGGACAAGTGACTTACCCAAGGTCACACAGCTAGAAAGGTTGGATTTAAACATGAAGTATGGAAGACTGGGCAAGTCACCAAGACATGGGAACCCTGGTTTATTATATTCACTCACTTCTTCGCAAAGTACTTACCTTGATAATAAAGGCTCTGGATCCCTATTATATCATCATAGCTGAGCCTGAAGAATTTTGGGTCCTGGTATTCATAGTTGGGGAACATGATGGAGTCTGAATCCTGAGAGTGCCTCAGACCCAGGACATGGCCTATCTCATGAACAGCCACCAGGAAGAGGTTGGTTCCTGAGGTAGAAAGAAAAGGATGAGAGAAAAAAGTGGAAGAGGGAAAGACATGGAAGAAATAGGTACAAAGGTATTAAAAAAAATGAAGGATTAGGTGGAAAGATGGGAATGAGAAAAGGTAATAGTATAAAACAGCAAAGTGAAAAAGAGGAGAAAAGGAAAGATTATATATATATATATATGGGCAGTTGAGGAAACAGAAAGGGTAGGAAATTTCAAGGGAGGGAAAGAATTAACTTATGCCTCCTCTGAAACTCCTACTCTTTTTGATTTAAATTTAATAATGAAATATGAAAAAAAATTTAATTATGAATTCTTAAATAATTAAGTTTCCATGTGAGTCACCCAGGACCCACTGAAATCTGCAATCTTATCTTTGCTTTCCAGTGTCTCTTGCACAACTACATTGGGTCCCCAATTACTTCTGAGGGCTGAGATAAAGTATCCCCCTCAATCAATACAAACAGATGTCAGATTTACCCTCCTCAGAATACGACCATTCTTCATCACTGTCAAAGTGGACAGCTCCTTGGTAGTAAGGATTTAGGGCAAAAGCATGAGCTAGGATGTTTCCTTCTCTGTTTCCTCTTCCATCAAAGGGGTAGGCATCTCCATGATCTGCATGGGACAGGGAAGAGAATAAGCATGTATTTTCTTGTTCATTCATGTCCAACTCTGTGATCCCATTTAGAGTTCTCTTGGCAAAGATGCTGAAGTGGTTTGCCATTTCCTTCTCCAGCTCATTTTACAGTTGAGGAAACTAAGGCAAACAGGGATAAGTGACTTGCCCAGGGTCACAAAGCTATCAAGTGTCTGAGGCTGGATTTGAATTCAGGAAGATAAGTCTTCCTGACTCCAAGCCCTGAACTTGATCCACTGTGCCACCCAGCTTCCACTCATGTATTAGGTATCTACTATGTGCCAGGCACTATGCTAAGCAATTTAAAATATTATATCAATGGACAGAAATTGAGAGATCACACTGGGGAATATATGAAATAGAACAGACATCTACTTGGAAGCCTAGTGAGAAGATTCACCTATTCTATGTTTTGGAATGGACATAAGGATAAAAGTTCCAAGGCAATAGGTTAGAATGGGAGATGAAAAAAGAGATGATAAAGCACTCCTCATCTGTACAGAGGGGAAAAGAGGGTTAGTTTAAATCCTTAAAATTAGAATGGATCCAGCATCTTGCAGCTCAGTGAGCCAACATTATATTAGCACCCAAAAAGCTAATAATCTCCAAGGGTTTCTGTCAGGACCAAATGAAATACTTTTAAGGTGCTTTGCAAGTATATTCAATCCTATGAACATTTTAGGCAGGACAAATGGCAGCACAACTGAAGGAGGATGAGAATGGTTTGCTCGATTACTTTGAAGTCTGGGGTCATTTGAGTCAGCTAATTAGATAGGAGAGGTCTTCAGTGACCTCATTTTCTATGTGCTTATTTTATTGCCTCCTTACCTCCAGCCAGGAAAGCAAACTCAATGTCAGAATCTTGTTTATACACTCTTTGGAATTTCAAGGGTGTCACACTGCTCCAGACTTCTAATGCCTTCTGCAAGATCTTTTCAACTATCTTATGCTTCATGTCCTTTGGATAGTTGAAGATACTAAGAGTCAAAATGGAAGGGAAGGAAAGAAAGGAGTTGAAGTGATTGGTACCCTGGAAAAAATACTGGGTACAAATCCCATTTCTGTTGTATTTCACTTCATCCAAACTCATCATTTTATCAATAGATGAGACTGGGAACTAGAAATTACATGACGTGTCTAAGGATATCTATGTCATTTTGCCCCAGTTAAGAAAATGCCAACTGCTGCTAGAGGAACCATATCATTAAAGGTATGGAGGTTATAAACTAAGAGTAGAGATGCTTTAATAGGTGACCCTGGAGGCTTACCTCTTCTGAATGAAAGGTTATATTTTGATGCTGTCCTGACAGTATGATGTCCCCTCCACCCCTTCCTCTATCTTTTACCCTCGGCTCCCACAGACTCTCCTGGAGATGCTCCATTCTATGACCTAAGAACAGCTACCTGTAGGTTATGAGATTGTTTTTAATTTTAGGCTTCCCAGGAAAAAATGAATAGTCAGCAATATCTCGGACCCCACATCGAGGTTTCTTTATAATGGCCTTTGTGGGCTCATCCAACCAGCCAGTTTCTTCCAGCCTGAAGAAATGCTGCAAGAAGCGCAATTGATCCTCCAGAGTATAATCCTGGGATTCTTCTTTGGTGAAGAAGAATCGATGGAAGTAATCCTAAAATAAAAGAAAAGGAAATGAACCTGAGCCAGAGGCATGAGAGAATATTCAGGGAGTTACTATGTGGAATTGAACATTCCCTGGAGAGACAAAGGGTGATCATGAATCTGATCTGATGCAATTCAATTAATAGGCACAAGATATTTACAAATGGAGTCTAAACCCCTCATTTTACCAGTGAGGTAACTGGGCCTAGATAAGATAAATGACTTAATTCAAGTTGAATAGGAAATTAGCAATCCAGGTCCTCTGGTTTTAATTTGAGTCCTCTTTCCATTGCACCATGGACAAATAAATGCCAATTTCCTGAGTCTTAATTAAATTTCAGTTCCAGTCATCAAGAATATAAAGTTATTAAGTGTCTGTGTCCAGTACCACTAGTGATCTAAGGATAAATAATATAGTCTTTGACTTCAAGGCCCTCATTGGGGTGGGTGGGTGCTAAGAAACAGACACATAAAGAAGCTTTCAGCCCCATGGAAATAGGCAGTGCAAATTTGAATAATGCAACCATTTCATAGATGATTAGAATTAGGAACTAGCAGCTGTTAGATGTATGTAGATAATTGCCCCAGCCTGGAGAATCTGAAGGTCTGGTGTAAGAGATAGACACATAGACCCAGGTTCTGCCTTGTAGGTTGATTATATGGTAGGCATACAAGATAGGTAGTTCTTGGAAGATATATATATATATATATATATTTTTATATTTATATTTATATAGTCATACACTTTGACCTCAAGAATAGCCTCAAATGGGGTCATAGAGAGTCAGATGACTAAAAAACAACTAAACAACAACAAAAATTATATGGCTCAGAGTTGGGGTGGGCAAGAGTTTTCTAAGGCATTGGAAACTTAAAATCTGTTTTCTTAAGGACACAGATGTTTATCTTAAACATCAGTGCACAGAACCAAGGAGACTCAGCCAGCAAGAAAGAAGGGCATATGATACTTACCTTAAAGTAGTCCAAATCATCAAGGATAGTTCTGGGGATAACTGGAAAGAACAAACAGCAAGGCAGGAAAAAGGCAAAGATGAGAAGAGTAGACAGCATGATTAAAGTTCTAGCTCTACTGTAGGCTATGACCCCTTGCTGGCCCTGGGAGAATTTATAAGAAGATTCAGGTCCTGGTGACTCATATCAAGTAGGGCCTCTCTTCCTGGATCATTGGATGATGCTAACTTCCTAGGGGGAGGGTAATATGCATGCCAAAGTAAAGAGATTAGCTACTAGATATTAATCTCTCCTCTATTTTCCATTCATTGCTCCCTCCACTCCGCCCTGTCACTACCGAGGCCTTGGGCTATTGCTAGGAAGTAGAAGTACTCTAAACCTCTGAGGACTCCAAATATTTTTTGAACTTGAATCTCTATCAGTATTCCCCCTTACCCCAGTTCCATCCCATGCTTGTTAGGACAGGAATGTGTCAGTCTTTCCAAGGGCACTTAAGATTTCATAGAAATCTCAAGTTAGGAATAGGTAATTCCTTGGAGGACTAACCATTTTACTATCTATCCTTCATGCCCCCCCCAAAGGAAGAAAGGTCAGGACCTTTTAGAGGGGAGGAATTAGGAAATGTTGAGCTATAATCAGTGAAGGCAAGATAAGGTTGTGTTGGACACAAACCCCTAGACTGACTATTGGGGGGCAGAGAGGGAGGGTGCATTGTTTCCCACCCTTAGATTAATCACACATACTTTGGGGTCATGCCCTGATCTCCCAGTTGGTCCTCAGCCTCACTATCAAGATCACTGGGTTAGTGTAGTCTGGGTCATGCCGTGAAGGTTGATGGACATGCCTTTCAAGTCTTTGCAGTTATTTCCATATTGAGCTGATCATCTCCCCTAGAGTCACAAGAACAAGAAAAGCAAGGAACAAAGTGAGAGACAGAAAGAGAGGCAGAGAGAAAAAAGGAGAAAGAGAGGGAAAGGAAGAGACAAAGGCAGTAACACAGGCAGCCCGAGAGAGAGGAAGGGTCAGAGGCAGAGAGAGAAAGAGACAGAAAGAGAGAGGGAGGGAAACAAATACAGACAGAGACACAGCAGAGACAGACAAAGAAACACAGCAAGAAAGACAGAGACAGAGACAGAAGGACAGAGATAGATAGAAATAGATACATGGGCAAAGAGACAGAGAGAGACAGAATTATGATAGCTCAACATTATTTCACCTTAACACTTGCAAAACACGCTGTGTGTGTGTGAAATATAAGATATATGTCTATATACACACATACCCATACATATACATGTGTATATACATATTATATATATATATATGTATGTATGTATATATATACACACACACTGTAAATGAGAGTAAATGGGAGTTGGAGGTGGGTGGGAAAGGCCTCCTGAAGTAGGTGAGATCCTTGAAGAAAGATAGGAAATCCATGAGGCAAAGTAGAGGAGAAGAACATTCCAGGGATGGCGGACAGCCTGTGAAAAGGGAGGGAATGTGGAGATGCGGAGGCATGTGTGAGGAACAGGAAGAAGGCCAATGTAATTGGATCATAGGATACATGAAAGAGAAGTAAACTGTTGTGTCTGAGGTAGGATTTGTACCCAAGTTTAATTGAATCCATGTCCAGAACTCTATCCATTTCTATACTGTCTCAGAATCGTTTTGCATGCTATAAAGAAAAGCAAGAAGAGACCCAAATAGAAAAGGAAGATGATTACAAAGTGTTATCAGAATGAGAATGAATGGTCTCAAACAAGGGTGGGAAAACATACACAAAATGAGATACAGTTGATTTGAATGGGGCCCCAGGCTCTAGTCCTATAGGCATTCAAAGATAAATGGGACATGTTCCCATTAAAGACAACTCCATTACCTTATCTAGGACTAGCTCATATTGCATAGGGAGAACCTCCACACCTATTTCAGCAACAGAAGGACAGAGAATGGGATAATTTAGAAGACAGTTCATTCCCAGAATCTCTCCCTGGGCCCCTACACTGATTCAGTCACACATTTTGTTCACTGAGCCTTTACTGACTGGGGATGGGGGTGGGGTTCCAGAGTGGGGAATAAAGAGGGAAGAAGTTAGAAGAGGAATGCACATTGAATTTTCTTTTCCTCTGAAAATAACTATATGTTTCTTTGACCTTTTCATTGTTCCCATCTCATCAGTTTCTGGATTTCTCTCCCTACCAAGCATTTGTAAGAAAATGACTGCATTACTGTCTTCATTTCTTTATGTGGTAGCTAGGTAAAATAATGATGATAGATTCTAGGTAGAATATTGTGATGGGTTTGGAGTCAAGAAGACCTAGGTTCAAACCTGGTCTTAGACACTTAATAGCTATGTGACCGTGGACAAATCCTTTAACCTATCTCTGCCCCAGTTTCCATAACTATAAAGTGGGGATCATAATCATACCTACCTCCCAGTGTTGATGTAATGATTAAATGAGATATTTGTAAAGCATTTAGCACAGTTCCTGGCACATAGTAAGCACTATATAAATGCTGTTGTTCCTGAGTAATTTTTTAGTCATGTTGAACTCTTCATGACCCCATTTTAGGTTTTTTTTTTTTAATTTTTTATTTTTTTTGCAAAGATACTGAAGTGGCTTGTCATTTCCTTCTCTACCTCATTTTACACATGAGGAAACCGAGGCAAACAGGGTTAAGTGACTTGCCCAGGGTCACCCAGCTAGTACATGTCTAAGGCCAGATTTGAACTCATGAAGCTGAGTCTTCCTGATTTTAATATAAAAGCTAGTTATTGTTATTTTCTTTCCTTCATGTAATCTATTGCTTCTTATCCTAGGAAATATTTTATTTCAATCTTGGTATTTTCAGCACCTTGTACAGTGCCTGGTACATAATACACACACACACACACACACACACACACACACTCACTCACTCACTCTATACACTTGCTTACTAAGAATCTGTTCCCTTCTTATCAAGAAAAGACTCATCCCTAGACTTGGTATTTCCCTTTGGACAAAATTGTGGCCCCAGAATCTACAGGGTCTTGGGTAAGCCTATGGACATAAAAAGACACTGGGGCAAGAAGGGAGACAGGACCTAGACCTGAAACTATGTACCTCAGACAAAGTCTGGGATTCTGTTATTTTTAATACTCAGTTTCTCAGGGGCCTGGGGCATCAAGCTATATATTGTAGAGGGGATGGGTGTTTCTATTCTGGTTTTACCAAGTTCTTTCTGACCCCTGAGGATTACCAATATATCCACAGTATCCCATGAACCTTCCCCTTTTCCCCAAAATCTCCTGTCTTCTGAAAAATCTAATTTCCAAAAGCTCTCTCTAAAATTGGATGGGCTATTGAGTAAATTTGTAGAGATTCCAAGATACATGCCCCTCTACAAACTGACCAATTTGTCAGAAAACTTACTGATCCCATATCATTCTTTTTTTTTTTTTTTGGCCTAGGCAATGGGGTTAAGTGACTTGCCCAGGATCACACAACTAGTAAGTGTTATGTGTCTAAGGCCAGATTTGAACTCAGGTACTCCTGACTCCAGAGCCGGGGTTCTATCCACTGAGCCACCTAGCTGCCCCTACCATATCACTCTTAATACATAACACTATCATGCAGTAATAACTAGATTGTCACAGAAATTTGGCTAGTTCTCAATAAAGTAATAATATAGCTCAAGATCTACAATTCTTACCCAAGTATACACACACACACACACACACACACACACACACACACGCACACAAGATTACTTCCTCAAAGGCTCCATTCATTCTAAATCATCTATTTTGCTGAACATTTCTATCACTGGTGTATATGAAAGAAGAAATGGCATTCCTCTTACTCATGGATAACACGAATCAGAGAAGGATAGCTGCAACACTGGCCTACAAGATTAGAAACCTACAAAATTATGACAGGATTGAAAAATAGACTGAATCTAACACAATGAAATATAATAAACAAAATGCCAACTCCCACACTTGAGAGTATCAGGGATTTATCAGCTTGGGTTCTTGGATAGGCCAGGGAGAATCTCACCCACCAGATATATCACCCTCCCAGAGGTCAATTAACTCTAGTAGCCAAACTGAAAAGAAAATTATTTACTAGTGTGCTAAGGAAGACTGCTTACTGGTAGCAGCTTTCACTTCTTAGGATAAACATTTGGTTCTTTTTACTTTTCTGGCCTGGTTAGAGTACACAGCCAAACAGCATCATTCAGAGGCAATTTGGAATATATAATTAACTCCTTTCAAAAAAAAGGATACAGGAAGGGGGAAAACCAAATAGAGAGAAAAGGGGACTGGTTTCTGGAAGAATATTTGCCATGCAACTGGCAACATTTCCTGTTCAAAGGTAGCAAAAAAGAAGTGACTAAATTGACTTTTAAAATTGCTAAATAAGTATATTAGGAGTAAGGTAATCATTAAAATGTTCCAGATGTCTCCTATCCAAGAACAATAAATAATTTTTAGTACAGTGGATGAGATCATCCACTTTACAGTGTCTTTACTTAGTTGTTAAACTTTATTTCTCCTTCAGGTGCAAAAATGAACTTCACTAATAAGATTGAGGGAGTCATGATTACTTAATAATTTTCATGAAAGAAACCTGAGGATCTTACTGGATTGCAAACTCAACATGATTCAACAAGTATTCCATAAATCAATAATCTGATCAAAGGAAAAGGCCTGTCATGATAAGGTGGCCTTTTTCATCATTGTTAGAAGAATAGCTAATAAATGATTTTTTTTTTATTAGATAAGCATACATCCCCTCAGAGTTTTCAATTAGTGGAAGTGATAGCAGGCTAAACCTACCATTTTATAACAATCATCATCACCACCATCATCTACTCTGGGCCTGCATTAAATTCCTCTATCAACCCCTTACAGGGCTCCCTGACAGAGGAATGCCCCAGGAATAGTAGAAGGAATGGTTTTGGTCAGGGGCATGTTGAAAATCTATGTAAACTGGCTCAGGATGAAACATACTCATACACTGACATCACTGACATGCAGCAAAAAAGCAGATAGCAACGTGACCGTGTTCTGGCCCATGAACTAAGTTAACTAGGAAAGTAAATAAGTA